GGGGCCTGGCCGGTACGGCTCCGCGGCGATCCTGGGGCGGGATGGGGCTGGGGGCGGCCCGAAGGAAAGTTGTGCGGGGCCCTGTTTCCGCTGGGCCGTTCGTGAAATGGTGGCGCTTCTTGGCGAGCGGGGCGGTGATTCGCTGCGTTTGGCGAGGTGTTGTTTTGTGCTTTGGTCTGCGTCCTTTTAAAGCGTAGCTGTGAGCCTCAGGGAGCCGGGAGGTTCTCCGTGCTGCAAATATTTGAGAATTTGCTGCTGCTCGGATCAGGGTGCTATCGGTGCCTGGCGTTACTTTTCTGGTTCGCGTGGTTTTTACCAAGTTAATGGGAAGGAGAATCCTTTTCCCAAAGAGAATCTGTAACTGGTTTTAGTCAGGAAAGTAAGCAGGAAAAGGACCCGATTTTAAACTTTCGCTGCGAATTTATAATTGATGCACATGGAAACAGCTGGGCAGCGTGAGAGGTGTTTGAGTTCCTTTTCCAATCTCTTGAAATGCTCTCTAGTACATCTTTTATTTTCTGTAGAAATGCTTTAGGAGGGTGGGGGGAGGGGCAAGCAGTTTTTCCCTTGCATTTTCTGTCTGTTGGAACAAATTGCCCAGGCCAGCAGCACCACTTTCTGTTCCTCTGGAGGGTTTTGAACCAGAAGTGGATTGGCTCCTTAAATGCGTTGTAAGGAGCTATCGGTCTCTGGGCCATACTTGCTTTCTGTCCCTACGCTGCAGACTTTGTGTCATCTCTGTGGCTTTAGGAATGTTTTTGGCAAATGCAGCGTCAGGGTTAAGTCGTGTGCCAAACCATGGAGCGGTTCAGGTTGGAGGAGCCCTCTGAAGACAGTCTGCTTCCAGCTCCTGTGTGCAGTTTGTGCGGGCAGCTGGAAGAGAACGTCATGCAGAGCGTGTGAGCAGGGAGTTGGATGCATGCTATAAATGTATTTTACCAACTGCTTCGTTTAGCCATGGTTGCTTAGATTCAGTGAGAAGCTGCTGTGTGCGTTCAGCTTGAAGATACCATGGGCTTCTCTGTTTTGAATGGAGTTCAATCAATACCCAGTTTAGAAGTTTGTGAATAAGCTGTCAGAACTTGAGAGCTGGAGGAAGTTGGCTGAAGGTTTTCTTTCTTTTTTATTTTTAAAGATCACTTTGATTTCACTTTTTATGTGAAAAGGGCATTTGGAGTCGAATGTTTCTTTAGGCCTCATGCTAATTTCCATTTGATGCTGTCACTTTGCCTTCTGTCAAAGCCTTGTGCCTAACATTGTTGCTTAGAATGGTGGTTTTTCTGTGTCCCAGCAGAAAAGGAACTTGAAGAACAGGCGAAGCACTTGAGATAATTTGTGCCTAGGTAGTGTTTTTCAAGCAGTCCCTGCAAGGCTACTGAAAGCACAGCTGTTTACAGAATCATCTCTGGTGACCTCAGCTCAGCTTCACAGCAGGGAGAAAAGGTTTGATATGTGTTTAATTGTGCTGAGGAAACAGAAAAGCAAGAACTGCGTTGTGCTGTCTGTGCAGAGGTGATGTTTGCATAACGTGCTGTTCTGTGGGCTGTTTGAGAATACAGAGGCAAACTGGAGGATTTGTGTGTACAGAAGTCCGTGTATTAATTGTGATTGTCTGCTTCTCTTTCAGATTGAAGCAAGTGAATTCTGATATAACTCAGCTTTGTTAGAGGGCTTTTTTTTTTTTTTAAAGAAAAAAAAAGTTGATCCACAGTGCATCAGAGCAAGTTACTACTTTACTTTTGAGTGACTTACAGGTGCTTGCCTGCATTGCAATAAAGGACTCATATATTGAGCAAGACTTATTTATCTCTTCATTTTGGAGAGTCTAATAAACTGTTATTACAGTTTCTGTACTGACTTTCAAAGTTTTGAAGTCTAAAAAGACATCTTTAAACATAGAAACATGAGCACGGCCAGAACAGAGAACCCTGTTATAATGGGTCTATCCAGTCAGAACGGGCAGTTGAGAGGCCCTGTGAAACCCAGCGGGGGCCCAGGAGGTGGAGGCACACAGACTCAGCAACAGATGAACCAGCTGAAAAATGCCAACACGATCAACAACGGCACCCAACAGCAAGCACAGAGCATGACCACCACTATTAAGTGAGTATTGGTATCGAGTGCCTTAAGAGTAATGCTTACATGAGTGGGAACATGCTTCTAAAAAGTTTGCTTCTGTTTTATGGCGTTGATGACAGAAGTGTCCTGGAATGTGTGATATGAAAAGAAAGCTGTCTTTCCAGGTGTGAGCTTCTCACTGACGTTTACCTTTGCAGTTTATTTGTTGTGAAAATTGAACTTGATGCTTTGCTTTTTCAGAACGTGTGGCTGCTTGTCAATGGCAGCCCACTGAGCAGCAGCATCCTGTTTTCTTTGCCCATTTTAAGTGGTGTGGGAAGGAACAGAAATGTAAGACAAAGGAGGAAGCACAGCCTAATCTTACTCCAGTTTTGCTTGCTGTGGGGTTAGTTGTTGCAGATCTCTTTTGTGGTGGGAAACTCTTCCCAGTTGGTTCTGTTTTGTCATGGAACTTAAATGGTGGTGTTGCACTCCCTGTGTAACACTCCAATTTCAATTAGAGCCTAAGGGATCATATCAAGGTGGTACCTTTATGACACTCTTGTTTGTCTCTCTTCTCCCATCAAACTGCTGTTGGAAGTGTGCTAATGATTCATGCTGGTTGGAAATTCCCTCAGATCTGTGAGGTTTGAATGTTACAATAGCAGGTCACTTTTTTCCTCCCACAGTTGCCACTCCTCCCAAGCAACACGAATTTCTGTTTTGCTGCTCAGTTATTGGTGAAGAAAATCTGTGCTGGAGTGAGTGTCATGGGATGCTCTAGCTCTTTATGTTTGCTGAGCTCATATTCAGTTGTGTTTTTAAACTGGGTTACTACCCAAACCGAGGGGCAGAACTCATCAGAAGTCATCAGAACTGATTTCTGACTGGGACTGGGGAGGAGGAGAACTTGTGCTCTTCCATGTGGGGTCTTTTCAGAGGGGAAAAGTGCCTGAATCTCACTGAGAGTCAAATTGAGAACATGTTCAACACGTAGTATGTGTTCACTTGGTTTTCTCCCCAGAAATATTTTCATCTTGCATTACTCATGGATATAAAATAGACAGTTCCTGAACTCAGAAATGTGGGTCTTTTTATTTTTTAACACCAGTAGTAGAAAATACCTGTGTGGATTTATTACTTTGACATCGCTCTGTCAGAGCTCACTTTGAAACCTGTGTTCTTGTGGGTTGATTCAGTGGCCCAAAAATGGGGCTGGAATCATGACAAGACACAGATTTCCCAAGTTTGCTTTGCACTTGGCAGGCTGCTCAGTGCCTTTGTTTACCATTTCCTGCCTGTTGCATCCCACTTTGCTCAGAAGAGACTGGAGCTTGTACTTGTAGATGCTTTCAGCACACAGGAGCTGAAAATATTACATGTTAATCACTGTTGCCAAGAAAATCAGAATGCAAAACAGAGTTGCTAAACCAGCCTTTGTTTTTGTTTGTTTCTTTTGCTGTAGACCTGGCGATGACTGGAAGAAGACTTTAAAACTCCCTCCAAAGGATTTGAGAATCAAAACTTCTGTAAGGATGCTTGAATTGCAGGAATGGAAGTTGTGGGAGAAGCTGCAGTGAACCAGTAGTATAAGATCCATAGCACTTAAACTTTTTCTCAGCTGTTTTAAATGAGAAATTGCTTTGTAAAATTAATTTGGTCTCTTAAAATTAGTTGCTTCTTAGCATTAGATGCTTCTTTTGTGAAGCTCAGCAACTTAGTTTAATTATTTCTTATCACTCCTGCAGCTTGGGTCCGATGCCTTCTGCAAGGCAGAAATCAAAAGATGTCCTGTAGATTCACAGGAGTGTTTTTGGGTTTTGGAAAATTGATCATTTACTTCTGCACTGTGTGATACTGCATGGAGAAGTGAGAGCTCGTGTCTAGTAGTGGAACATGCTTTCTGATCTTCCTGCACGAGCAGCCTCTCCTCTGCTCTGGCTGATGGCTGTGGTTGTGTGACCTAATCTTATGGATGTGCTTTTTCTGCTTATCCAGGACGTGACCTCCACAAAAGGAAATGAGTTTGAAGATTACTGTTTGAAACGGGAGTTGCTGATGGGAATTTTTGAAATGGGCTGGGAAAAGCCATCTCCTATTCAGGTTGTTAAAATAAACAGACCAGTTCTAAGCAACAGCTTAATTCTTACAAACTCGCTGATGTTACTTGTGCTTAAATGGTGAACACTTGTGTCATGGCTTGGGGAACTGGGGGTTTGAACAGCAGGATTCTGTGACTGCAGAAGGGAAGAAGCACTGGTGTCCAAGTAAATCATAGCTGTTGGCTGACAAAGAGATTGGGATTGACTGAGATTTTAGAGAAACCAGCCTCTCCTTATCACTCTGGAGGCATCAGTGTGTTCCTCTTTCAGTAGCATCAGTAGTGATGGCAGTCACAGGGAGAACAGGGCTGTTCTTACACATTTCCTGGGGAACTTTGATTTGCTGTAGGTTGCATATCAGTTGTTACAGGGGTGTCTGTATGGCCTTATCACCATTCTTGGCTTTTTTATCGTGAGCATCTGGAAGGAGTCATAATGGAGATTATAGGAGAGTAATGTGTCAGTAAGTTTTCTGTCCCTTCCTCTTGCTTTTAAGAGTTGTTTTATGAGTAACTGTTGATGTGTGTGAAATTGCTGTTGGGGGCAAGATAGTGTCAGTTTGTTTTTAATTATGGCTTGGAGAGTTATCATTGAGAGCTGGGCCACTTTGTCTGTAAGGAATGGAGAAAGCTATGGCTTATTTCTAACATATCTGCTTTGAAACAGATTCTAACATCACCTTTTCCAAATGAAAAGATTGTAGATACTTGGGTTGTTCAGGTGTTGCTGCAAAAGAAAGCAAAATGAAGAATACATGTGGCCTGAATATGAATACTGAATGGCTGAAGTCTCAAAACCAGCAGGCTTTCTTTTGAAAAGTCTGTCACAGAAGCATGCAGGTTGGGAATTACATGGGCTGATGCATTTCCAGCATTGAGAGATGTGCATCTTTTTCTGTTGGAGGAGTTTGCAAGTGTCTGTCGCTGCCTCCTCATTTTTTTTTCTCTGATTTTTTTTAATTACTTTTTGCTGATGTGTCACTATGGGTTTCCCATGCTTGCAGTGTCCAACACTGGGCAGAATAAGAACTTTATTTGGGACACTGGGAGCAGAAGTATTGTGTGATGTTGGAGAGCTCTTTGCTGATAGGTTTAACTCCTTCCCACTGCGAGTGCGCAGTACTTGCAGGATGTTCTGTTCACAGAGTAAACACGTAATGTTACACTGTTAGTGAGGAGAGGTGGATTTTGCTCATCTCTTCAGTGAGCCCAGTTTGTGATTGTTCATGCATTGACTGTCATTGCAGGAGGAGAGCATCCCCATTGCTTTATCTGGTAGGGATATCTTGGCTAGAGCGAAAAATGGAACAGGCAAGAGTGGAGCCTACCTCATTCCCTTACTTGAACGGCTAGACTTAAAGAAGGACAACATACAAGGTCAGTTGGGACGGGTCTGCCTGAGCTGCATGCGGGTGGTGATGGTGGTGGTGCTCACTGTCTGGACTTGAATCCAAAGCTGGTTGGTGAAATGCAGTGATGTAGGTTGTCTGCTTGTACTTGTAAAGCAAGGACGTGGGGAATGGTGGAGGGAAGGTGGGATTGTCAAAGTTGCACGGTTCATTTAAGGAACTTGAATTGGAAGGTATCTTCCAGGCTTTACTTCCTGCCCCAAAAAGTGGATTTGGAGTAATAAACAAGTGTGGTGGCTGGGAGAGCTGTGTGGAGCGAGTGTCTGGGGTGTGTGGGATTTATCTTGTTGTAAGCAGCTGCTAGAAGTTCTGTTAGTATCTATCAGGATATCCATAGTGGAACTGCAACACTTTGAAACGTGGCTTTTGTGAAGCTTCCGTGTTCTGCAGGGAAGTATTGAAGACTGTGTGTTGGTAGTAATCCATGCTGTACTTTTAACTTTCAGCAATGGTGATTGTTCCCACCCGTGAGCTAGCCCTGCAGGTCAGTCAAATCTGTATCCAAGTCAGCAAACACATGGGAGGTGCCAAAGTGATGGCAACAACAGGAGGAACCAATTTGCGAGATGACATAATGAGGCTTGATGATACAGGTTGGAGCACTTTGCTGCATTACAATCACTGTTTGTTTGGGGCTTTTGTCCTGAGTCAGAGAATTTGTACTTTTCTCTTACGCCTGTGTTACTGTTTGCTTGTTAGAAAATAGTTTGTGATGTGTCTTTGTCGCAGTATTTAGTTATTTTCTCAAACCCTTGGTATAAAACATGTCTCTGAATGCTGGAAACACTGCCTGAGTTGCCTTAACTTTTTTTTTTTTGCTCTTCTGACTCCACAGTGCATGTGGTGATAGCTACCCCTGGAAGAATCCTCGATCTCATCAAGAAAGGAGTAGCAAAAGTTGAGCATGTCCAGATGATAGTATTGGATGAGGCAAGTTACTCACCTTGAAACACTTTTCACTTTAATAGGTTAAAGCAGTGATGTGTCTTAGCCAGCCACCTCCTTATGCACAGCAACAAGTAGATTTGCTTGAGGATACCAAACTAATTCATTTCTTGGTGTTTTGAGAAGGTATTTTGGCAGAAGAAGGGAATTTTTTAGGAAAGCCACCTAAGAAAGTTTTACTTCTCTGTTTACTTTTTTGTTGCTGTGGAACAGATGAACAGTCACTTCTGAATGGAGGGAATGCATTTTGTTTAGTTTCAGTGCATAACAAATGGGTGGTGCTTAACACAAGTTCATATAAACTGATTGTATAGAACCATAGAATAGGCCTGGGTTTTTTATAGAACCGCAGAATGGCCTGGGTTGCAAAGGAGCACAGTGATCACCCAGTTCCAACCCCCTGCTGTGTGCAGGGTCACCAGCCACCAGACCAGGCTGCCCAGAGCCACATCCAGCCTGGCCTTGAATGCCTGCAGGATGGGGCATGTGATTTGTGAATGTCTGAGAGATTACAGGCTTCTGAGTGAGAAGGTTGAGAAAACAATTGTGTGAAGGCTCTTGGATTTTATTTATTTTTCTTTAATTTGATTTTGTTTTGAAAACCAGGAAATGTAAACTTCCTTTAAGTGGTGAATCCTGTTTCCAGCAGCTAAATCAGATGTCTCTTAGAGTGTAGCATTTACTCCAAAGGGAGCAATCCCATCATGAAGCTGGAGAGGAGGCTATTCCTGGTGATCTTTTCCTTCTGCAGTGTAACACTACCAGGAGACTGGAATCTTGTCCCATCTCTTTAATGTCTTGTCTTGTACTTCTGTTACAGGCAGATAAGTTGCTGTCTCAAGATTTTGTTCAGATAATGGAAGACATTATTCTCACGCTACCTAAAAACAGACAGATTTTGCTCTACTCAGCCACTTTCCCTCTGAGTGTACAGAAGTTCATGGTGAGTGCAGCTGGAATCTCTGACACACGATGTGGCGTTGTGCACAGGGTGCTCCAGTGAGTGCTGTGTGGTTGCTGCTATTATTTATGCACCTGTGCTTTTTTGATTCATGTATCAGCCTAAATATGGGACAGAAGGTAACTGCTTTTAGTGTGGCCTGGTGCCTTGGAGTTATAAGTAATCTTTCTTGACGTTTGACCCGCCCTCTCTTATGGCAAATACGGAGTGGCTGGGAAATGCATTCTTGCCTTGGAGGAATGGAGGTGTGCCAGAGGATCGGGTGTCTTTATGCTGCTTTGCATGTAGATTCGCCTGCCTGATTTTTCTTTGTCTTTCAGAATTCCCATTTGCAGAAACCCTATGAGATTAATCTGATGGAGGAGCTGACCTTGAAGGGAGTTACCCAGTACTATGCCTACGTCACCGAGCGTCAGAAGGTTCACTGCCTCAACACGCTGTTTTCCAGGGTAAGAGAGAGGGCCAAGAACCTACAGAAGCATTTTGCCCCTTCAAAATGAATAATAAGACTTAAGGTGATGGAGGTTTTTCCTTGACACAATGCACTAATGCTGCTGTAGAAGCTGAAATTAGAAATGATTCTTGTCCTGTACTTTTGTGGTGCAGAGCCTTGCAGTTTTTTTTCCCCTGTTCAGAAATATATATGATATGAATTGCTTGCAGCTCCTGTTCTCCCTGCTTTTTGAAAGGGATTTAGATGCATGCCTTAGATTTGCTGTTAAAATTCTGTGTTTACTGAATGCTCTGATTATATGTCCAGCTCCAGATCAACCAGTCGATCATTTTCTGCAACTCCTCTCAGCGGGTTGAATTGCTAGCCAAAAAGATCTCCCAGTTGGGCTATTCCTGCTTCTACATCCATGCTAAAATGAGGCAGGTAAGTATGAGGTTACAGCAGTTGCTGCCTGGGTTCTTCTCAGCTCTACTGCATAGCTGAACAAAGTCTCAGGCTTGCTTTAAATTTACCTATCCTGTGAAAATGTATTTTGTTTTGGTTCCACTTTGTGTCCAGACATTTTCTGCACTTAGCTCTTTCCAAACTGATGACTTGGTATTTAGGAATCCAAACAGAGCAGTACTCAGTTGAGGTGAGCACACAGCATGACTGCAAGCTCCATGCTGTAGGGCAATCTGAGAAGTCAGGGAGGCAGCTTTGATCAGAGCTCTTAGTAGAAGTGCCAACTACTGCATAGCAATTTGGCACCCGTGGCCTTGCCGTGAAAAATATCAACGTGGCCTTGGTGCACAAGGATTTATATGACTTGGAGAGTAGCTCACATCCTCAAGCTTCATGCTGTAGCTTTCCTTGTTAGCCAGTGAACTGGGGCATCACAGGAGGTTGAAGTGATGTGCAGAAGGCAGTAGGACTTTAAAATATTTTTCATTTTGTATGTAAGCTAGAACAAATTAAAGCAACAGCTTTAATGGTAACCTAGCTGTTTATTGGCCTGACAGATAAGACAAACATTTGCTGGGCTATATGTGGAGCAGGAATTGAAGCAGAAGTGGAGGTGATGTCAGTGTTGAGGACACAGATGTGCAGATGGGTTGCTTGAGACCTGATTTTTCATTTCTCTGGTTTGTCAATAGTTCATCTTTCTGGTAAAAATGGAGGTTGGTTGTTTGATGGGACGCTGCAACTTGTTCATTTCTCTCTCTGGAAATGATACAAGTTAATCTGCGTGGTCCAGAGCGGCTTGTTGATAAGAGGAGAGGCTGCACAGACACTTGGCTCATCCATCACTGACTGATCCAGTGGTGGAAAACACGCTGCCTTGGAAAATGGAGTTACTGCAAGTTTTAAAGGAAGGATGTTTCCAGATTTTATGTAAATGCTCACAAATACATTTTTAGGATGTAAGATATTAATACATAGAATTTGGCACGGGGCTGGGAGAGATGATGGTCAAAGCATTGGGAATGGAGATACGCTTTGGGCACCAAAAAATCCTGGTGTTGAGAAGTAGAACGAGCAGCTTTGAGTCAGCTGGTGTTCATGAGGAGGTGAGGGTGGGATTTGTGGCTGTAAATTGAGTACTCAGCTGCAAGTCGAGCTGTTCTTTAATTGGATTTTTCCTGCTGTGTTTCCAGGAGCATCGCAACCGCGTGTTCCATGATTTCCGAAATGGCTTATGCCGCAATCTTGTTTGCACTGGTAAGAGTTCCTTTGCATTTCTCTGTTTCTGAAGGTTGTGATGGAGTAGCCATTAGCCCAGGTATAACAGATCAATTGTTTAGTGATAAAACTTATCTGCTTTAGTAAGAGAATTTTTGTCATACTTGTGTGTAATGGGCTGCAGTGCTCCTGAATCACAGAATGTCCAGGGTCAGAAGGGACCTCAAGGATCACAAAGCTCCAACCCCCCTCCACATGCAGGGCCACCAACCTCCCCATTTCACAGCAGCCCAGGCTGCCCAGGGCCCCATCCAATCTGCCCTTGAACACCTCCAGGGATGGACGGGGCATCACAGCCTCTCTGGGCAGCTGTTCCAGCACCTCACCACTCTCATAGCAAAGAACTTCCCCCTGACATCCAACCTCAATCTTCCCTCCCTCAACTTCAAACCATTTCCCTTGTCCTGCAGTTATCAACCCTTTCAAAGAGTTGATTCCCCTCCTGTTTGCAGGCTCCCTTTAGGTACTGCAGGCTGCACTGAGGTCACCCCGCAGCCTTCTTTTCTCCAGGCTGAACAAGCCCAGCTCCCTCAGCCTGTCTTCATAGGGGAGGTGCTGCAGCCCCTGATCATCTTTGTGGCTCCTCTGGACCCTCTCCAACAGCTCCCTGTCTTTCTTGTCCTGGGGGCTCCAGACCTGGACACAGTGCTGCAGGTGGGGCCTCATAAGAGCAGAGCAGAGAGGGACAATCACCTCCCTGTCCCTGCTGGCCGCCCCTCTGCTGGTGGAGAGGCATAGAGGCTTTCTCTTGTAGTCAAACCATGGTGGTGCAGCATGTTAACAAATCCTTTCATTGCGATCATACTTTGTATTTCAGTTATGTTTTCTGTATGTTCTAACTTTTGAGTGTTCTGTAATTTGCTGGATATGAAATAGGAGCACTGTAGGTGGAACGGTGGCTAGGATTATTGAATAATGATTTACTGATTCCATAAATGTTTGTAGTTCATCTTTTCTAAATGCTTTGCAGTTCTGATTGGTCTGTATATGACCTGAGTTATCTTAGAGCTGCTAACAAAACTCACTTGAAATGAAACAGAAATAGTTAAGTTAGCAGGATGTAGCTCAATTTAAGTCTGTTGTGATAATGGCAGTGCATGCCTTATTTGATGAGGTGCTTATATAAGGTGACCAGCTCAGAAATAGACTCCATGTGCAAAAACTGGCTTGGTGTGAATTACTTCTATTGACCTAGATCTGAAGATTTGATGTCTTGATAGTTCTTATTTTATTATGCTTAAAATGGATAAAGAGCAGGAGGAGGCTGTAACAGAACTGTATGCAAAATGTCTTGATATACAGAGAGCTTATCTTTAGGAACTAGTCCTAACCCGTGTTCAGAAATGTACATTTCCTAAATTTCCCAGCCCAGCATTAGATTTCATGGAAGTTAATGCTCTCTGTGACCTGGGTTGTCTTTCAGATCTGTTTACCCGAGGTATTGATATCCAAGCTGTGAATGTGGTGATAAACTTTGATTTTCCAAAGCTGGCAGAGACTTATCTCCATCGTATTGGCAGATCAGGTGAGAGGAGAGAAACATCTTTGGGGAACGACCGTGCTGATAGCTGTAATGTTCCTTAGGCTTTGGCTGGATTCTTTCTGTTACTGTACTTGATAATTATTTTGAGTAGCTTTGTTTTTTTTCTGATGTTTACTTACAGGCACCATCTCGTAGGATTTTCTTCACAAATACCTGAGTAAATGGCTGTGCTCTTTAAATGAGCCTGAAGAGCCTAGTCCAAAAAAAAAAGAAACAAAAAAAGAGAATGAGGGGGGAAAAAGGCACCTTTTGCTTTAATTCCATGACGCTTGCCAATGTTTATTATTTGCAGTTTGGGAAGGTTGTGTATTGAAAACGTGGTTTCCATGGGTTTTTAAGTATGGTGGGTCTTGTTTGTCTGTTGGTCTCCATGTGCTCCAAGGTGTTTGTGGTGTCAGGTATGTGCTGAGAATGGCAGTGAAGAACAAACCTGCTCACACAGTTCCACGCTGCAGTAGTGGAAGACTTCTACTGGTAGTAGGAAGTCCTTAGCAGATGTTGGTGTGAGCTCGCAGGTCCGGGTGGACATTTATAAGCAGGGAGCTGTGTTAGCAGCACTGCAGAATCTTTTCAGTTGACCTCCTGTGACTCAGTCTGAGTTTCTTTCTTGAGGTCGCTTTGGACATCTCGGCCTGGCCATCAACTTGATCACCTATGATGATCGATTCAACCTGAAAAGTATTGAGGAGCAGTTGGGAACTGAAATCAAACCCATACCAAGCAACATTGACAAGAGCCTTTACGTGGCAGAATACCACAGTGAACCTGTAGAAGATGAGAAACAGTAACCATGTGCGTATGTGCTGACTTGGAGTTGTGTTGGAGTGGCGCTGTGGGGGAGGAGGGGAAACTGCTGTGCTGAGGAGCATTGGGATGTGAAAACAAGGGTTTGAAGTAGGCTGTCAGAGGAGATGGGGGGATCCTGTCTAGGAATCCTGTGTAGAGACAGGATGGCTGTGAGCAGCTGAGTGAATTCTTTCTGTATTTCTTAGCTAAGAGAAGAACGGGCAGAAAGTGATGATTAGAAAGGTGAGGAGAGAACACAGCTCTCCTAAGAACAAAGCACCAACAGAACAGCCTGCTCGCCTCAGCAGCTGAGAGAAGCAGGTTCAAGCCATGGGTGCCTCATTTGTTTTGCATCCTTTGATTCGTACAACTTTTGCAATAAGCACAGCAGGTAACAGAGCTGTAATTCATCTGTGTTGCCACTTGAGGTCTACATAACATAAAAAGAAAATGAGGTTTCTTTGGCAAGGACTTCGGAAGTGTGACTTTTTGATGGCTGTCTGAGGGAAGAAGGCTGAGTCGATTCACAATCCAAGGAAACTGTTATTCTCACAGCCACAGCAATTGGGCAATATTTGATCTGCTACTTGTTGAGATGCTACAAACCATTTGGGTTGAAGGGAGTTCTGTGGTGTATCTTCTCTTAGAGATCACGAGTTAAGAATTCTAACAAAGCTGCTGAAATTGCTCTCTGTTGACAAAAAAAATTGCCGAAGAAACAGTCTGTTAATTAAAATGGAAATTAAAACGAAGCCTGTATCTCTTTGAAATAACTGGAGGCCAGCCCTAGCCAGCTGGTCATTCAGGTTGACTTGTGGCCTCTACTTTGCTGGCTGAGCTTTCTCCATGTTTTAAAATGAATAAAGCAAAGCAAACGGTGAAGCTGGGCAGGGTTCTCGGGTGGCTTCCTTGGGGAGAGAAGTTGGGTGGTAGAGGCACATCTGAGGGGCAGTGGTTGAACTGCACCCCATGGCGGCGGCTTTTGTGCAGCTGCCCCACAGTCAGCGTGATTCAGTTGTTAGGTTTTGCACAGAGCTGGCTTATTGCAGGTTGTCATTTGTGTATTTATTTATTCAGGCTTTGACTACATATGCCAGAAGGTGAAGCCCTTTGATCCACATCTGTGACACATCATTTCTCTGGGGATACCCTTCTCTTTGTGGGTTTTTCTTCGTCTTTTCATTTTGGAACTATGAAGACTAAAGAGCTCGGCCTTTTTTCTTTTTAAATTTGGCAGCAAGGAAGAAAGAAGATGAAAGGAGGAATGTCTTTTTGTTTTTCCACTCGTTTGCACTGTGTGCTGATTGAACATTAGTTGCACTAACTGCTGGTTTTAAATTTTTTTTCTTTGGGTGGGAGGGGCAGCAAGGGAAGAAGAGAAACCCTGGAAAGAGAAGAATCTTTGAACACGAGCTTGTCTGCGATTTCAAATTCTCCAACCGTCGACTGAGTGCATTTCAACTTCTCCCTGGTTACTCATCTGTTTTGAAGCTAAAGAGCTTGTTACTTATTCGTGCAAAGTGCCTTATGCTATGAGACCATTCAGAACATCACCTTTGTGACGCAGCCCGAGGAGTCAGCCGCCGTTTTTGGTTTCAGGTCAAAGTTCCCCTCTCTCCCCCCTCTCTTCCTCTCCAAGTACTCGAGGCCAGGGCTGTGAGGTGAAACTTATTGGTAATACTACTTTGTCTTCAACTTCTGTTTCCTTTTTGTTTTTTTTCTTTAGTTGGAGGAGTTGATATGCATCTGCAGTTCACCCACACTGTAAATACCTGTATTTAAAACAAAACCAACTTAAAATCTGGGCTGATTAGGTGCAGCATCGTAGCTCCAGAAGGAAAGAGTAGCCTGTCATCTCTTGCAGGAGCCATAAGAAAACCCCTATGCTCTAGCAGAACACTAAAGACTGGTTACCATAAGTCTCCATTAGTAGTTCCAGCACTTGATATGTAGACTTGTTTCAGAGCCGTGGCCCTCTTTCCTCTGGTGCAGTGTGTCCCATAGAAAATCAGATGTGTATATTGTACAAACTTTGTAAATATTTTTTTTTTTCCTGTTTGGGTTCATATATAACTTTTTTGTTCTTTTTTTTTTTTTTTTTTTTTTGATGAAGGTTGCTGGGGTTAAAGGGATTTGACTGATTATGGGAGCAGCTAAAGATGAGAGGGGCTCAGTTTTCTGCAACACTAAGCGATGAGAAATGCTGTGAGCAGGGCAGCCTCCTCGTGTGCCCCTGGTCGGGGTGGGTTTGCTCCGCTGTCAGCAACGCTGCCGGTGCCACTCGTGTGGAGGAGATCATTTGCGAGGCCCTGAGGTCTCAGCAGTCTGTGGCTCAGCTCGTTTGAGACGCTCTTCAATTTTCCCCTTAGAAACTTCAGGAACTTGGCAAGCTCTGAAGGTGCCACGAGCCGCGTTCTGCGTGGCACGAGGGGATGCGGCGGGTGTCAGCGCTGCTGAGCAGGACGTGCGTAAGGCGTGGATTTGGGCTTAAACCATAGGAAACTGAGATGCATGAACGGACAGTTCTGGAGCTCGATGGGAACGATTGATTTCCTGCAGCGTTGCGTATTTTCTGCCCAGCACGACCTCAGTACAGACGTTGGGTGAGCAGGGCAGGTGAAGCCCTGTCCGTGTGCCTGGGGCTGCAGAGAGCTGCTCGCCATCGCTCTGTTCAGGCACCGCTTGCTGCCTGTCGCTGGGACGCCTCCTGGTCAAACGGTGTTGCTTTAAATTGTGCCCCTCCCAACATGCTTGATGTTTGGCCTGATCTCCAGGCAAAAGGAGTGAGACAAATCAAACTGTAAACTTTTAAAATTCCCTTTTAGCCTGTTCAACAACAGCGTCAGGAGGCACCTGGACAAATGCAATCCCTTCTGCTCATTTATTCTGTATACAGATGCTGCACTCACACTATGCTTGCTTACTTTGAGGCAGGAATTAATTAATTGTCTTAATTTCTCCCTTTTTTTCACCCCTCCCACACTTTTTTCTGTTGTTCTGAGTATGATTGGAACCAAAAGGCAGACTTTCCTGTCCTTTTCCTCGAGGAACACACTCACCAAACCAGGTGCCTCCTGACAACAGCTTTACAAGATGATGGAAAGGGTGGTTTTTTTTGTTTTTTTTTTTTTTTTTTTGTGTCAGCAGTGACTCCGTAACTGTAGCAAATGCTGCACTAGAGTACAAACTCAAGAGCTTGGTCACAGACACTCTGTGAGCCACACAGCTTACATTTGACTGGCAGGTACTAAATGTAAACAACTTTGGGGTGCTGGGAGGGGGGCGGGGGTGGGACTTTGTGGGTGCAAACTTTGACCAAAAGTAAAATCTTGCTCTTGTACTGCAGCCAGCTTATGATTTTTCCAGAGAGTCAGAAGAGGGATCGTTTTAGTGCAACAAAGACATGACAAATGTAAATACAAGTGTAGGATCTTGGCGGGGCACACGCGTGTGGCAAGAACAGGACAGCAGTGTGGGGTGAGGTGCGTGTGCTCTGCTTGATGGGGGCAGTGAGCCCGGTGCCATGCTCTGATGGTCCCTCTTGAAGCACAGAACTTTTAAATGGAAAGTATTACTTTAAACTTGGCCTCTTATTGAGGATTGGCACTTACCTGAGTATCGGGGGCACCATTTCTAGGCGGCTTCCAGTGCTGAAGGAAGCAGCCTATTCTTGGTGCTAACAGGCTATCTCCAACAGATGCAAACGGAAAGATGCTCCAAACGACTAGGGTAAGCCTAGGGTTTTTTTTCCTTTGTTTGTTTTTCTCCCCGAGATCAATTGTGAATGGATTTTGGCTTCTTGAGATTCCTTGTAACACCCTGTTCTTTTTCTGGTCGTGCCAGCCTTTGCATTTGTGCATTGCTTGGAGCCAGTCTCTTCCTTCAGCAGAGGAGCCCTTGGGCCAAATACTTCCTTTGACAAAGATGGCATCAATGATAATACGAGTAATTCTGCATTTTTTCCTCCCAAAAGTCTAAAACTCCTTGAATTGAGTTGAAATGGCCACAAAGAGATGGACACCAATCTGCAGCCAATTTATTCCGATCAGCTGCAGGCCGGCCTCAGGGTGCAGCTCTGTAGGGCTTTCCCTCGGGGGGGTTGGGGGGTGGGTTGGTCTCAAATAGGTCTTTTAATTTCCAGAATGAGATGGGAGCATCTTTCCTTTGCGCTCTGCGACTTGTTGTTGTTGTTGTTGTGGGTAAGAACACGGAAGCTCGGTATGAATTTGTCGTACGCACGTTGGTATCAAATCATCTCATTCTGATTTTGATTTTGATTTTTTTTACTCGGGTTGGGGGTGGGTGTCTGCTCTCAGGATTTAAAAATGCTTCGCGCCTTGTGATGGAAGTGATGGGGAGGGGGGCAGCCTGCAGCACAGCGCTGTGCAGCGGCTCCGTCCTGCAGGAGGCCGCAGTGCAGCTGAGCGCAGCGCAGCTCCCTTCTGCTGTCGTGCAGTTGGGCACAACAGCCATTCCAACTGCTGGGAACTCGCAGCCTCTTTAATTGGAGTTGATAATAAACGAGGGCTCTGGACCAGAGAGCATCTGGAGGCTGTGCTGCATCGTCCCCTGCCTTCGGCTCGGTTCCTGCGGCGTTGCTGACGTGTCTGCGTGGAAGCATTTTTAAATTCTGCTTTAGACGAGGGAAGGGTAAGGAGGGGTGGTGGGAGGGATGGGTTTATTAAGATACAGCCTTGCTGTATTTTAACCAATAATTAAAGGGAAGGGGTGGCAGGAGAAGAAAACAGTCATTGTTCCCGTTACAGAAAAAAAAAAACAAAAATAAAAGCAACTTTATTTGAAGAAAAAAATATTGCAGTTCAGGTGGGGCATCATAACCCACCGGTCCCTAGTCAGGAAGTTGAATGTTACTGTTAATCAGTGAACAACACGGACAAATCATTGCAAACTTTTGGGGGGGAGGGGAAAATTGGCGTTTGGTTAAATTGGTAATTGGCAAACTCTCCGGCGGAGCTGAGAATTGGTTGAGAATGTATTTCTGGATGCGTGTGTGTCGCAGCACCGACTCGCAGAGAGTTTCACGAGTTCAGAGTGCGAAAATAAGACATGATAAAATCCTGATTTTGTTGATTTAAACTCAATAAAAGCTCCCTGGAACACCAGCGTGGTCTCACGTCTTTCTTTGAGCGGCGCTGAGCCCCAGCCACGCTGCCCCCCTGCCTTGCGCACCGCAGGGGGACACGGGGGGCGTCCAGCCCACGGTTGGTGGTTCTGTGTGGTGCCATCGCGTGTGGAGAAGCCGCCGGGCTGCAATGGGAGCTGTGAGGGATCTGATGAGTGAGCAACAGAACCCGGGGGGTTGGGATGGACGCGAGATCAGGGAATCCCACCCCCCTCCTGGGAGCTTCCCCAAGGGGAGGTGCTTTGTGCCTTCAGCCATCGCTGTGCTGTGGGGCCGTAGGAGCTCCCAGTCCTCCTTCCTCAGCTCAGCTCATAGAGGTCGTTGGTCACAAAACCACGGCCAGCACTGCAGGTGGGAGAAGGCAGCCTTTGTTCCCTGATCAGTTCCTAATGCAAATACCCCCTCGTTGTGGATCCTGCAGCAAGAGTATCATGGTGCTTTAAATTAGCACGTGTGCTTAATAAAATACTTGTCAGCAGAACCTTTCTGGGTCTACGTATACTTCAACTGTTAGAGAATCAATCAGTATCCTTCATCCCACATTGTTCATCCTGAGCCTCACGTCCTCTGCCCACGCATCCAAACCCACCTCATTGCACCCTGCATCCCTCAGCCCTTCCGCATCCCAGAATCACGGAATGTCCTGAAGGATCATTGAGTCCACCTGGCTCTGCACAGGACCACCCCAAATCCTTCGCCCTCCTTTTGCCTGCATCCCTCATCGTGCATCCTTCATCCCACCCCAGCACCACAACCCACACAGCCAGGTGGCCGCCTGGACACACAGTGGGACCTCCATGGGGACGTGCTGGTCTGTGTGAGCCAAGCCCCAAGGGCAGGGTCTGGGGTGGCTCTAATGAGTCCCAGCCATGATAACAAAGCAGTGACTCCCACCTGCTGTGGGATGGGATCCCAGGGCAGGGCTGGTCCCAAAGCCTCTTAACGCCACTGGGGGCTGTTTATAGAGTTCCCGCTATTGGCTTCCCAACCTGCTTTTTCTGCTCTGTTTCCTGAGGCTGAGCACAGCCCTGAGGTACCCCCAGCCCTGCCAAAGCGGATTGTGGGTGCTGCAGCCCCCTCTGCTTGCAGCAATGGAAGTGAGCAGGATGCAACCATGCTCCTCCAGCCCCAGTACTTCTTTCTGGGGATACAAAACAACACAAGGTGCTGCTAGAATGGAAGAAATGCTTGAAATCTGTTCTATCTCACTTCCTTTTTTTTTTTTCAATCTTCTGTTGCAGGGCAACTGAGGGCTGCAATAAGGATCAGCTCAAACCTGAGAGCAGTTCCAGAAACAACAGGACCACAGAGGAGGTGTGTGCCTGCTGCTCCCCTGGAGGATGGGGTTCTGGCAGTGAGAAGTGCGGGAGGTGCTGGTGGTGGGGGGGGGTTTCCAGCAGCCTTTCCCTGCTGGAGCTGGGGGTCCTGGTGCTGCTTCCTGCTCTGGGCTGCTCCCTGCCCTCCTGCAATGGGGTGCAGGGGCTCAGCACCCTGGAGTTGCTCTCTTTGCCCCTCTCCTCATGTCCTGATGCAGCTCTTCTCCCAGAGGAAGGCAACCAGCCCTGTCTTCATCTCCCTGTTGAGGAGCTGCAGTGATGGAGCTCAGCCGAAGGATGCAGTGTGCCCTCCATGTAGAGCAGAGGCTGAGCTGACCCGACAGGCAGACCTCAGCTCTGCAGGTGAGTGCTGCATGCTGGTCCTCGGATGCAGCAGAGCCTCAATCCCCTGCACCCTGCCTGGTGTGGGCTCTGTACTCCCCAGGCCCCATTCCCTCTGGCTGTTGGCAGAAGCAGTGGCTTCCCTTGGTGGTGCTGGTTGGCCAAAGGCTGCCCCTTTGGGTGGGGTGCAGCTCCTCCAGCCTGTTTTCCTGGGTGTGGAGAAGCAGCATGATGGTGAGCAGCGCTGTTGAATCGTGCAGGTGTGGCAGCTCAGTTCTCCGTTTATTTGTGTTTCTTTAGTATCTTCCTGGGTGAAGGAGGTGGTGGCAGATTCCAGGGGCAGAAGCACCTCCGGGCTGTGAGGAAGGTGGGCGCTGCTTCTTGGCGGTACTCTACCCCTATGTTGGAAGGTGGGAGGCAGGGCTTGGAGGGGCTGTGCTCACTGTTCTGCATCTCATCACTCGGGCAGAGGCCTTGATGTGCTGCTGCTGCTGGGGTGGGGAAAGTTTTCTTTACAAAGTCCCCTCTTGGCCACCGGGGGTGGCCTGGCTCCTCTCTGATGCTGGCCAGGTGTGGGTTGGGGGAACTCATCTCTGGGGTGGGGTGGTGGTGGGAGGAGAGCTCACTATATACTGCTGTGAGGAAGGTCCTGAGCTTCGGTGCCAGGCTGGCTGCTTTTCCAGCTAGCCAAGTCTCAGTGAGTCTCTCTACCTTGGGGTGCTTGAAGAGCTTGTAGGTCCCCCCGCCTTGTTCTGGATGAAGCTGCTCCAGCAGCTGCTGCCAGGAGCTCAGGCAGGGAGCTCGGTCAGCATGCAGCAGTGTTGGGTGCTGTCTGCCTTCTTTTCCTCCTTACCTGGGGCATATCAATGATCTGTTTGACCTGCAGGATGCTGATGTACTTGGTGAAGGTCCCCATAGGAAGGATTACTTCAGAAAAAGGGAGAAGAAGAATGCAGTTGGTGGGGGCAGGGAAGGACGAAGCTGGTGGTGCAACTTTTCTTTTCTTGGCAGCTTCTGCTGTGAGCCATGCCTTGGCTGAGAGGCCAACCCTGCGCATGCTGCTTGGCATGTGCTTGTGGACTCTGCTCCCAGTCTCTGTTAAGAGCACAATTATGACTTAAACCAGTATAACTGGTGCTCCTGTATGCCTGACGCTGTGCAGAATCCAGCTGAGCGCCCCGCATGGGTGCTTGAACTTTGACATATGGCAGTATGAAGCTATGCAGGGAAATGTTTGAGCAAGTGCTCTCTGTTCCACTTGGATCCAAGGCAGCAGCAGAGCTGAGCGGAGGCTGCAGGGAAGACACGGGTTGCCAAAAGCCCTGCTGCATTTATTCAGCTTCACACCAGTTTCATGGTTACAGAGCTGCTGCCAAGGGCTGAGCCTGCAGCTTCCTGTTGTGCTCCCAGGGGCTGCCTGCAGCACACTAAAATGGCCTGAGGATGTGGAGCACATCAGGCACCTCCTCTGCCCTCTTGTGTAAGAGCAGCACTGCTGCTTCAGGAAAACAAAAGCAGCTGGGGTGCATGGTAGGGTTCTCGTTTATCCATGCTCCCTGCTGGGGCTTTAAATCTCTCTCTAAGTGGAGACCGTTAGCTGTCTGTAACGCAGTGCCAATGCGTGACCACCAATAAAGTGCTCTGTGCTTCTGTTTTGGTTTGTGCTTTTGACCTCCCAGCCTGGCAGAGCCTGGTGCTGTCAGGTTCATGCCCTCCCTTCACGTCCATCCTTGGGAGAGGGAAATCAGAATCCCCATCGTCACAGAGTGAGGAGCAAAGTCGGATCACCCCGTGGGTGCTGGTCACCTGTTTCCCATTTTACCTTCACCTCTTTCCCAACAGAGGCGATGGGCTCTGCTAAATAGTGCAGAAAGGTGGCAGGGAGAGCAACAGACAGAGCAGCTTAGGACTGAGACACACAGGCAGCTGCTTTGGAGAAGGAAATCCACCTCTTCCAACCCAACTGTTAGGGCTTGGCTTGTTTTCAGCTTGACCTGAAAGGCAGAACACGTCCGGGTGCCAACCACTGTGCTTTGAGTCCCCGCATTGCCAGGAAAACAAACACCACCACTTCCTGTGCAGAAACACCCAGAAACTGAACCAGGGCAAAAGAGTGAGAGGTGAAGGGCCCTAGGGAGAGCCAGCCCTCCTGGACTGCAAGGGGAGGTGGAATGGGGGCGGACTGGAGCTGAGGGGGCACTCGCCCTGCTGCACTCCCAGCACAGCTCCTGCTGTGTGCTGGGATCAGAGATGCTGTGCATTTCGCACCCTGTAGGCACTGCTCCCCCAGGCAGAGCTGGCTGTGTCCCTGCCTGGTGGATCTGCTTGCAGGGCAGGAGGAGGATCTGAAGCCTCAGCTGACAAAGTGCCAATAGGGAGCAGCTGTGGGGCTGCCCTCACCCCCAGCCCAGCACTGGCCATGCTACACTGCAGGTCCCCACCCAGAGGACTCTGCATCCTGTCTTTAAATAAGAAAAAAGGCAAAGTTTGTGCAAAACATTTAGATTTGATGTGAAAATGAGAGGCAAACGTGTCACGCTTTTATGGAAGAAAAGCATTCAGCATCTAAAGGAGAAAGGCAGCACTGTCTTGTACTGAAGTACACCTGGGGTAACACTGTCACTGCCCAGACTTCTCTGCTGGGCAACTTCTTAAACACAAATCACAGACAGGGAAGGGAAGGGAAGGGAAGGGAAGGGAAGGGAAGGGAAGGGAAG